CACAGAACGCGGCCCAGAACTTCTGGGGCCTGGCTTCCAGCTCAGTGCCTTTCCACCCTCCAGTCCTGCTTGGCCCCCCGGGCACCCCAAGGGCTTGGCTTGGCTTTTCCCTGGGCCGGGTGTGACCTCTGCCAGCCCTGTACACTGGTGCCCCCCAGCCACCCAGCTCTGTCTCCCTGATTCGAGGAAGCCCACGGCCTCTCTGACTTTAGAAAGAAGTTACTGGGCAGGAAGCAGGGGTGGTGGGGACCGGGGAAAGCCAGGACGGTGAAGGTATCCAGGCTGCCCGGGCCTCCCCTCTGCTGCCCTGACCCCGCCCAGCCCGCCCTCTGCCCCGCACCCCCAGCGGCAGTATCTCACGTGGGTAGATGTGCCCACTACTCAGACGGGCAGGGGCAGCACTGGGCGGGGCACAGGCCGCCTCTCACCCCCTCTAAGCAGGGCAGATGCCAGGAAGGGGGAGTCCCTCTCCCGCCCAACAGTCAGGGACGTTTTCAAAGGGAGCCGAGAGCCGGGAAGTCCGAGGCGGGCTCCCACAGAGACAGCGTTCTTTATGCATCCGAGGGCCAGGCCAGGGAGAGGTGGCTAGACTCGAGACTGTCTCCACCCTCACAACTCCGCTGTGTAGACTGCGCCATGGCCACCTAACAGATGGGGAAACCGAGGCTCTGGGCCCCAGTGTCCTGCCCGGCTCAGGCAGCCGGGGACGGACGGTTCCTGTGTGAATATGGGCCGCTGCCAGGGGCTCGGCGGTGAGCTCTGGCCCAGCCTGCACGGGCCCCATCTGTGCCCACCGGGCAGAGCAAACGCCGCATGGCTCTGCATCTGCCCCTGTCCTGTGCCCTGCCAAGAACACCACGAGCGAGGATCTGCGCGGGCCGCGGTCTGAGGGAAGGCTCACGCGTCAGTGGGCCTCGCTGCCACCTCGTGTCGGGGTCGGTCCTAGCTCTGCAGCCGCCTCTCCCAGCCTCCTGCAGAAATCCCTGGGCTTTCAGAGGGCCGGAGCGGAGGCCATGCAGTCTCCCGGTGCCCCGTCTCGGTCTCTTCGTGGAGCTGCGTGAAGGGTTGTGTTAACTGCTGACACCCAGAGGCCGCCACTGCCTTCCACGAGCCCGGGGGGAGGAGGGTTGGAGCGGGGGGGGGGGGGGGGGGGGGAAGGGTCTTGGTTTGTTCTCCTGGATGACGTGCTGGCGCCGTGTAGATTTCTCCAGACCGCTCTCCAGCTCCGGGGTTGAGCTCTAGCATTAGCTTGAGCACTGCTGTGGACACAGGGTCCCATGGGATGGTCTCACCTGAGCACCACCCTAGCCAGAACTGAAACTCAGTACCTCGGCTTGCAGCAGGGCTGCAGGCTGCTGCAGTAGTCCTGGGGGTGTTAGTTGAGCATGCTGTGCAGTGTGCACACTGGTACTGTGCAGTGTGCTCCTGGGTACTTACTGGGCACTGTGCTCCAGGGTGCTGGACAATGTGTTCCTGGGTACTGGGCAGTGTGCACCGTGTGTACCTGGGTACTGTGCAGTGTACTCCCGTGTACTGTTCAGGGTGCTCCTGGGTACTGTGCAGTGTGCTCCCGGGTACTGTTCAGGGTGCTCCCGAGTACTGTTCAGGGTACTCCTGGGTACTGCATACTGTGCTCCCGGGTACTGTGCAGTGTGCTCCCATGTACTGTCCAGGGTGCTCCTGGGTACTGTGCAGTGTGCTCCCGGGTACTGTTCAGGGTGCTCCTGGGTACTGTTCAGGGTGCTCCTGGGTACTGTGCAGTGTGTTCCGAGTACTGTGCAGGGTGCTCCCAGGTACTGTTCAGGGTGCTCCCGAGTACTGTGCAGTGTGTTCCAAGTACTGTGCAGTGTGCTCCTGGGTACTGGGCAGTGTGCACACTGGCCATCAGCCTAGGGAAGTGCAGTGAATTTATTCTCAAGCTGTTGATGCCCCCTGTCCTCTGCCCCACAACAGCCAGGCTGCCGCACAGGAGCCACGGGGAGTCGGCTGCCTAGGGACGTGTAAACAGGGAGAGCATAGCAGATACAAAGGCCCTGTGGTAAAAACTCATGGCAGTCAGGAAGCAAAGGTTACTCGGCAGGGAGTGGCATGGAGGGGGGGGGCAGAGCCCCGAGGACTCTCAGCTGCTTGGAGTGTGCTCTGTTTATGGTGGAAACCAAATCCATTGATGAGGAGAGGGGTGGACAGGGGAGCGGGGAGAGGAGGCCACTGCCGGTGGTCTGGCGACTGATGCCGCTCCTGGCGCTCTGGTCTGCCCTCACGGCTGAGCGCCAGCTGCCGGGCGCATTGGCTTGGCACGGTGACGCGGGCCTGGGCAGGAGCTTGGACCTGACTCTGCGCGGCTCCTCTGTGGCTCCCGAGGCAGGGCGTGACTCGCCCACTCGGGGCCGGTTTCCTCGCCGCCTCCTTTGACCCTGGAAGGCGCTTCCTTCCAGCGGCAGGCAGGGTGCGTGGGTGCCGGGCCAGGCTCCGTCTGTGCGTCGCGGACTCGTTCCTGTCCTCTAGTAGGGGCTTCAAGGACAGGCATCTTCTCAGGGCCCAAGCCCATCTTTGCCCTGGTTCTACCCGGTTTGCCCTCCCGCCCTTGTGAGGAGCTCTGCCGGCCGCATGGAGCCCGGGGTGGCGTGAGCGTGGCGGGGAGGGTCACACCGAGAGGGCCGCGTGTGGAGAGGACTGGGCGGCCCGCACTGGGCAGGCTGCAGAGACAAGCACCCGCAGTCTGTGGCATGGAACAACAAACAGCCAAGGTGGTTCTCATTCTGGCCACCCTGTGTCCTTCCCGGGGACCCAGCCCGAAGGGACAGCACCACCCAGGATGGCATGGTCCCTCGGGCCCAGGGCAGAAACATGGCCCGCTAGGGAGAGCGTGAACTGCCGGTGACCGTGTTCCCGCAGGATGAAAGCCAGGGGAGCTGATGATGGCCCTCGTGGTCACCCGGGCGGCGGCCTGCAAGGCCCTGCCCCGCTCCCCAGCTCTCTCCTGCCAAGGCTGCTGGGCTGCGGGCCCCTGCCCTCCCTGCCGTCCGCACAGGGTCCCTGTCCACTGCCCGTGTCCACTCGCTGTGGAAGGCACCAGAGGAGGCCGCGCTCACCGCGCTCAGCTGCAGGGCTACAGATGACCGCAGGAGATGCCAGCGCGTCCCGTATGGGGGCCGTGGGAAGGGTGGGGCCCCAGAGACCAGCCTGATGCCTGTCCCAGGCTGAGCCACATCTGGATGCCCCCCTGGGAAAGAGAGCCAGCAGTTCCTGGGGGAAGATGTGTGCAGAAAATCCATGCAGCGCCCTGCCCGGAGTGACTGTCCTTAGCTGGAGGGAACAGAGAAAGGCCCAAACAGAGGCAGGGCAGAGGTGGTGGGTCTAAGCAGAAGACAGATATTATTATTATCATCTATATTATTACCTATCTTGTACTATCAACTTTGTCTGTATTATTAACTGGTTTAGTCCTGCAGCCTGATGATTTTATCCGAAGGCTCTTCTTTATATAAGAAAATGTAAGAAAGTGTAAGAAAATGACAGCAGTCTACTTACTGTAGGATGTCCCGTGTTTCTTAAAACTTGTTTCCGTTGCGGCATGGCAAGGCTTTTGCCCAGGGCCTTGGGCCGCGTTGCTGTGGAGCGGCCGGTGGGAACGGAGTCTCTTTGCCCTGCCTGTGGGGAAGACCAGGTCCACAACTATCACAGAACCCACAAGTGTGGCCGCCTGCGCTCCTTGCTTCATTCTTGCTCATAAAATGCACTGTGCATGATTCTTGTGCACAGTGTAGTACAAGGACCCTGTGGGTGCCTGTGAACACCTTAACTTTGGGATGAGGAGTCCGGAGCCTTACGCAGGAAAAAGAGGAGGGAATAAAACACAGCATGCCCCAGAGCCTGGGTTTGGAAGTGCTCGGCCCTCCCTGTGGCACTCATATCCCATTGGTGGGAACGTATCACGTGGGAGCATCCAGTTGCAAAGGCTGCTGGGAAATGTAGTTCCAGGCTCATGGCTGCGCCCCACCCTTTCCACGCTAAGGACTCTGTTCTGTAGAAAGGGTGAACGCTGTCCCGCTGTCTCTAGGCATCAAAGATGCCCCATACTGCCCGGTGCACTTCTGGAGCAACTTTTGAAGAATGAATGCCGGTTTGTGTTGAATAAAAATGATCGTGCATTGACCTTGGAGTACCGAGCAGAAGAGACTGACCGCTCACCAGACAAGTTCCTTTTAGAGTTATTTTCCCAAAGCTAGTTGCTTAATTTCTCCAAATTTGCAGCAGGATATAGGAAGATGACGGGCCGGGAAACCTCGTGTGGGAGGAAAATACCTAAAGAGTACAACTGTGTGCTGCGTCTCCTGTGTTTGCGGCGCCCATCCCCCCACCCTGAGCCAGCCACCAAATCTAATTACGCCTCCTATCATTTTCCGTGAAATTTGCATATCAATCTGCTGCGCAGAGGAAGCAGGCAGAAGGCTTCACAAGGAGCGGGGAGCGTTAATGGGCTTTATTTTGTGGGTGTTGTTTCATTGGATTGTTTTAGAAGAAAGCAACTGTAATCAGGAAAATCACCAGGAAGATAGGTATCTTTTCCCCTAGTTCGGTCTCCTGCAGGTTCTCAGACTGGCATGGGAGCCTGGGCAGCACGGGCAGCCTGGCAAGGAGGTTCAGTGCCGGTCTAGTGGCCGTGTGCGAGCCAGCTATGGCAGCGGGAACGTGCAAGACCCCCGCTTTGCAGAGTGGCCCCTGCCGGTCCCTGCGCCCAGCCTGCAGTACCCCACCTGCACTTTGCAGCGGAGCCCTCTGACCCCTCCAGGGAGCCTCTGAGGCACGCCCCTACTTTTTGCGCTCAGGTCCAAGACTGGGGCTTTGTTTCCCCAGGAGAGTGAGTCTCCCTGCAGAGGGCAGATCGCTGAGAGCTAGCGCCCTGGGTGCATGCGTGTGTGTGTGCGTGCGTGTGTGTGTGCGCGCGCGGCGTGCAAGGACTTGACTTCTCAAGTGTCTCTTTCTCTTCCCCTGCACAGAAACCCGCGCAGACCGCAGCAAGAAGCTCTTCAGGCATTACACGGTGGGCTCCTATGACAGCTTCGACGCTGCCAGGTAAGAGCCTCTCCCTGAAGCTCTGGCCGCAAGCTGTGGCTGCCAGGAGCTGGCTGTGCCAGGGAGCGCACCTGGAGTTGGCCTGGAGGGGGCGCATCCTGCGGGGGAGAACGTAGCAAACCCTGGCTCTGGGCTTCTGTCCCTTCTGTGAGCCCCATGTGCGCTCCTGTGCGTCTGCTCAGGCAGCCCTGGCCCTGCAAGGGCGTTCCGTTGGAGGCCCCCAGCCGGCCAGGGCTGGGACACAAAGCCGTGGGTCTGTGTGAAAAGCCATGCTCAGAATCCCACGGGAACCACATCCGCAGCGCCTGGGCAGGGACATCCAGGGTCTCTGTGTCCCTTCTCCCTCTGAATCGGGTGTGCCTGCCGGTGGAGGCCTGAGGGAGGAGGCCTAAGGGAAGAGGCCCACTGGAGGAGGCCTGTGGCAGGAGGCCCACTGGAGGAGGCCTGAGGGAGGAGGCCCACTGGAGGAGGCCTGAGGGAGGAGGCCCACTGGAGGAGGCCTGAGGGAGGAGGCCCACTGGAGGAGGCCCGAGGGAGGAGGCCTGCAAGGACCTCTGCAGAGCTCGTGTGCCATAGCCTGACACACGCACCCCGGTCTGTGTGCTACCTCAGCTTCTCCCTCCCACCTGTCCCCGGATGTGATGCTTTCGTGTCTCCCATGCCACAGTCCCTGGCCGTGCCCCCCCCCGTGACACGGCCCCCCCAGATATGGGGCCTGGCGAGTGTGCGTGTGACGCAGGAGGAGGCGGGGAGGGAGGCACGTGACGGGCGCTGGAAGGTCCCGCCCGGCACTGCTGACCGGCCGGCCCTGGGTCTGGGGCGCCCCGCCGCCCCAGGCTGCTCCCCAGGCTGGGGGGTGGGGGACGGCGCGGTCCTCAAGACACAGCAGAGTCACCAGAGTTCTCCCCGGCTGTGAGGAGCTCAGAGAGAAGTGGCGCAAAGGAGGAGGGGAGGTTTCGGTCTGTGACCTCGGGACGTGCAGGCTCGGTCGCTTGGGGTCTGGGGAGGGTCGGAAGGTCGAGGCAGAGGCGTGGGGTGGGCGCTGCTCACCTGGCAGTGACTGGGAGACCCGGAGAGACGGGAGGGGGTGGGAACAGGTGTATCTTTCCAGAACATGCCCCCCCCCCGCCCCGGCGCTCACACCCCCAGGCCCTGCCCCTACCCCAGGACCCCACCAAAAGCAGGGTCCGAGCCGTGTGTGCCAATCGCCCGTGGAGGATCCGGTGGAGGTGGACTGGCCGGGAGCGTGGAGTCTGGTGGGACGTTTCGTACCGCAGGCAGCGGCGGCTCCCAGCTGGCTGAGCCCCGCCTCCTGCGCGGACGGGGAAGGCCGGCCAGGCACAGAGCTGCAGTGCGCCCGCGGTGACCGGCTGGCCTGCCACGCCCTCACCCCACAACAAGCCCTGTCCCCAGGAGTCTCCATGCTCACTCCGCCCCCAGCTGTGGCTCAGGCGGCAGGGCCTCCACGGGCCTGCGTGGACAGAGAACGTCCGCGTGCCACCGCCATGCGTGTCCCCCACAGCCCTGGGCTGTCTTCCTCCTGAGGGCCAGAGCATCGTGGTTGGCTCTGTGTGTAGTGTCCCGTGGTTTTCATCGGCTGGCGGGCTGGGGGGCCTGGTTGCCGCTGCCTGTTGGACATGGTGTATGGACTTGTGTGGAGGACTGCTGGCTCGGATCTGTGCTCGGTGCTTCTAGGCGTTGGTCTAGGAGCGGACTCGCTGCAACGCTCCTCCTCTCTGATAAACAAAGTGCGCGTGGGGCTGGGAAGGTGGCTCAGTGGTAGAGCGCTTGCCTTGCATGCATGAGGCCTCGGGTTCGATTCCTCAGCACCCCATAAGCAGAAAACGTCAGAAATGGCACTGTGGCTCAAGTGTAGAGCGCTCGCCTTGAGCTGAAGAGCTGAGGGACAGTGCCCAGGCCCAGAGTCCAGGCCTCACAACCGACCAAAACAAAAAAGTACGCTGGCTGGGCTTGGTGAGGCACCCTTGTAATCCCAGCATTCAGGAGGCCCAGGCAGGAAGACCCAGCACTCAGGCAAGAAGATCACAGGGTAGGGGCAGCCAGACTCAGATTAGAAGGTTAGGAAGGGAGTGGAAGAGGGCAACGGAGAGAGAGAGAGAGATGACAGGCAGATGACAGGTGATGATACATAGTTACATAGTTACATAGGTAGTAGATGGTAGATACAGACACATAGCTACAGATCTCACAGATACGCCCGGCGTCCCCCAGGGGGCAGTGCAGCTTTCCGGTTCTCCCTCCCTCCCCCCTCCCCTTGCCAGCCATAGGGATGAACCCGGCCTAACGCAGGCTCTGCTCCGCAGCCCCATGGCCCCGGTTACACCGTCCAGCTGACCCGTGACCCGGCATGGTCCAGTCCGGAGCCCGGTGCTGGCCCAGCTTTTCTGACGAGGCTGGCCTGGCAGGGCGGGCCTGGCTGCCCGGCCCTGGGCTGGGGACGGGAGGTCATGGTGGGTAGGCCTCGTCCTGTACTTCTGTCCAGTGGGGTCCAGGCGGTGCCAGAGGCCAACACGCCCTCTAGAGGGCTGTGCCAGTGGGGCACAGGGCCCTGATTCTGGGAGGGTCCCCCAAGCGGCGGTGACTTTGCTGGGCTGGGGAGGGGGGGACTGCGGGGTTCCGAGCTGGCCCAGGTGCCCAGCACAAGTGATGGTCAGCAGGAGCGGGGCGCCAGGCTGCAGGTCAGCAGGCACAAGACTTGGGGGATGGCGTCTGGCTGTCTAGCTCCGGCCCGGCGGCCCGGGCATGAGTTTGGACCCCAGTGCTCACGAGGGATCCTCCGTGTCTTCCCCAAGCACTGGCCGTGGGGCGGGAGCTGGCGCCACAGGAAAGGGTCAGCTGGTGGTTCGGAGCGGAGGTAAAGGTGTGGTGGCTCATACCTGCCGTCCCAGCTGGCCACCAGGCGGACAAAGGAGGACGGTGCATTGCGTGCAGCCTGGGGAAATGGTTATCTTGTCTCAAATGCAGGCTGGGCATGGTGACCCATGCCTGCAATTCCAGCTTCTTGGGGAGTCAGGGACGGGAGGATTGAGTTTGGGGGCCAAGGCAAAAGCCAGATATGACCTATGAAAATGAAAAGCAGAAGGGCTGGGGACACAAGGCCCTCAACCCGATCACAGCACTAAAAAAGAAGGCTCTGGCACTCACCAGAAATGGTCCCAGGAGAGCGGGGGGGGGGGGGGGGGGGGAGGATGGGGGCGGGAGAGGGCCCGCTGTGGGCGGGGTCACAGGGGGCTGGCACGGGGCTGGGGCTGGGGCTGCAGACAAGGTGTGCATGAAGACCAGGAGCTGGGCGGCCAGAGCGGATGAGGACACCCCCCAACGCAGCCAGGGTCCCCCCTTCCCGCCCTGCCCATGCCAGTGTTACCCCGAGACCCAGAGCCAGGCGTCACGTGAGAGAAGGATCTGGAAGTCGCCACACTGCCCACTTGACCCCAAGCCGGGCACTGGTGGCTCCCACCTGTAATCCCAGCTGCTCAGGAGGCTGCAATCCAGAGCATTGAAGTCCATAGCCATCCTAGGAAGAAAAGTCTCTGAGATGCCATCTCCAAAACAACCAGCAAAAGGCGAGGCTAGAGGCATGGCCCAGGCGGTAAAGCACCAGCCACGTATGTGTGAGGCCTTGAGTGCCAGCCCCAGAACCACCAAATAGATCTACACCCCAACACGGGATGGGAACCCCCCATTTGCAGACCTCCACTAAGGTCCCAGCCTCCCAACATGGGTGCCGGGAGGACCTCGGGGCCACCCCAGGCTGAGCAGGATTTGCCTGCCCACTCACCTTACCTACCCAACTGTCCACCCATCCTCCCATCCACCTGTCCAACCATCCATCACCATCGTCATCCACCCACCCACCATCATCCACCCATCATCCACCCATCCATCCATGCACCCATCATCCATCCATCCATCCACCCACCATCATCCACCTATCCATCCATCCATCCATCCATCCATCATCCACCCATCATCATCTACCCATCCATCCATGCACCCATCATCCATCCATCCATCCACCCACCATCATCCACCTATCCATCCATCCATCCATCCATCATCCACCCATCATCATCCACCCATCCATCCATCCATCCACCCATCCATCCACCCATCATCCACCCATCCATCCATGCACCCATCATCCATCCATCCATCATCCACCCATCATCATCCACCCATCCATTCATCCACCCATCCATCCACCCATCCATCCATGCACCCATCATCCATCCATCCATCCACCCACCATCATCCACCTATCCATCCATCCATCCATCCATCATCCACCCATCATCATCCACCCATCCATCCATCCATCCACCCATCCATCCACCCATCATCCACCCATCCATCCATGCACCCATCATCCATCCATCCATCATCCACCCATCCTCATCCACCCATCCATTCATCCACCCATCCATCCACCCATCCATCCATGCACCCATCATCCATCCATCCATCCACCATTATCCACCTATCCATCCATCCATCCATTCATCCATCCATCATCCACCCATCATCCACCCATCCATTCATCCATCCATCATCCATCCATCATCCACCCAACATCCACCCATCCATTCATCCACCCATCCATCCATCCATCATCCACCCATCCATTCATCCATCCATCCATCATCCACCCATCATCATCCATCTATCCATCCATCCTCCATCCACCCACCCATCATCCACCATCCATTCATCCACCCATCATCTATCCATCCATCCACCCATCATCTATCCATCCATCCATACATCCATCCACCCATCCATTCATCCATTTATCCACCCACCCACCCACCCACCCATCCATCCACCATCCACCCATCATCCACCCATCCATCCATCCATCCACCCATCATCATCTACCCATCCATCCACCCATCATCCACCATCCATTCATCCATCCATCATCCACCTGCCCATCCATCCATCATCCACCCATCCATCCACCCATCTATCCATCCATCTAC